TCAGCAGTGCTGGGTTTTCATACCCTAGCACACGTCTCCTTCACTTTCACATTGCACAAGGATCAGCAGCTCCGCAGAGAACTCTTGGCCTTTCTGTGTTTCCAGTAGTCTAAAACCAGGACGTTCTGTGATAAAACAAAAATCTTCAAATCCTTATGCCATTTGGTTAAAAAAATATCCTGAGTTTGTTTAAAAAAAATTTTTTTTGTGCAGTCATTGGGATAAAAATCTTCTCCCCCAGATGCAGTAAATCAGCTTGTTCCACGAGCACCTCTGAGTTCCGTCACGCCGTTGCCTAGGACTGCATCTAAAGGAGCCCGCTTCTTCCGTATGCTGCGTCCGGAAGCGATGAGATCAGCGTAGCCCCGTTGATGGGAGAAAGCGTAAGCAGAACGACGGCCAGACACCCCGCGGCGAAAAGCACTCTGCCTTCGCTTCCACTGTTGTTCTTCGGCCACGTACTTCTTGCAGTTCTTCTGAATCTTCATGCATGCAAAGACAGGTCAGTTTATGGCTTACAAGGGAAAACAGCTTCTTTGCATTTATTATCTGGGGAAATAACCTGATACTTTTTTACATCCTGAACTGCTTAACAGGAAAGTTCTCTTGTTTCAGCTTGATTTTGTTAGAAGCAAGAATATATGCAGTCACACATGACCATTTCAGGAAGACTTACTGTATTCTTTTGAACTTCATTATTTTCATTTATCTCTAAATGCCTTTCACTGAAGTGGACTGAGGGTATGTGATTGAAAGCTATTCCTGTGTTCTCATGCTGACATTTCTTTAATACCTTTTTAAACAAGACTACTGCAATTTTAACTATTTTCATACCCATCTGCTATCTGCCAGCTCAAGGCAAAACAGAAGCAAACAAACCCTGTCCACTATACTGACACATATCAATGGAGCTCCGACGCAGCTCAAATAAAAACCCAAGTCAGGCCATCAGCAGCTTCAGAGTAGGTTTCTGTGGTTTTGCAAAGTCAAGTGCTCAGCCAAGACAAACGATGAAGTAGCCCACACTGAACTGCGTGCTGAGCTTGCACACATACCTCTGCATCCCACAGAAGCACACAAGGACAGTACTGGGAAGTAAGAACACTTCAAAGTGACACTCTGCCTTGGATGGCACAACGTCACAGCGCCTGTCGTCACCCAGCGAGAAGGCAGGCTCGTCCGGCCCTTGGGAAGCCCCGCTGCCACCCTCCCCGCCCACGGGACCTGAGCCCCATCTCGTGCAGCTCTCCCTGGGGCACAGCCACTTACTGATCTCCAATATTAGCACCAATACCGACTCCTGTAAGTAAATACATGCCAAATTAACTGAAATAGCGTACGACTTTACTCACTCTGTCACTTTCCGAAGGCCAGACTGTCATTGATAAGAAACGCTGTGCCACCACAGGAAGTAAGCAAATAGCAATTGCTAAAATCATGGTCAGCCAGAGGTACGGTTGTCTCAGAGCATTTGGAGCAGTTCCTAGGAATAAAAAGAGCAAAAATTAGTTTATGACACGATCAAGTAAACTAGTTATAAAACACGAATAAGATGCTAGAAGCCACAGCTTCTTTCCTGAGGACCTAACATTCAGGTTCTCTGTTGCATATCACATCATCAAGCTTTTATTCAGAGACTCTACTCTGAAGAGAGCACAACAGGAAAGAATATCATAAAGCACTTCTATTACAACATATCCATATTAATGTCAAAGCCATTTTAAGAGTTAAGAGAGGCTGCAAGACAAACGCTTGGCTGACACGCATGGCTTTTGTCCTGCTTCAACGCACGCAAAGCAAGAAAAAGTCCTCCACGTATCGTCAGTATATATGTGGTCTAGAAAGCAAGTGATATTTAGTAGCCAAACACCAATCTCATGGAGATTCTATCAAACTAAGTAGCAATCATACCTTTTACAAACTTCTGAAATGTATAAAGTATTCAGGTAGAAGCAAGTTATAGAAGTAGTCTAAAACATTACTAAAGGTCAGAAGAAAAACATGCTAGAGGCAACTACCCTTTTTCAGCTGGGTTCAGCTTAAGGAGGAGTACGTAAAATTGAGGGGGTTTGTTATTTTGGGGGGGGGATATTTAGATCCAAGGCAACATACGAATCATTTGTCACTAGGAAAATTAGGAAGCACAGTTCTCCTCAGAAAAACATTTCCAGCTGGCTGCTACTTCTATCTCCCTGGACTTCCAGCAAAATTCCAAGGAGCTGCTAACAGCATTTGGCTCTGTCTTACTCTGGGGTTTCACAGAGCAACTTGGCGGACGCATAACCTGCCAGATCATCGCATTCCCTTTATTTTAAGCTGCGCTACCAATTTTAGCTTAGTTTTCATTTACACACACCTGCTGCTGGGCAACATCAAGTTCCAGCCCATTTTCCTTGAAAGAAAAGAAATACTCCAATAAAGCAACCTGGCCCCAAACATTAACAAAACCCTTCCCTGGAAGTGAAGTAGTTTTTGACATCACTTCCTTTCACAGGCATCAGGTTCACACCACGACATTTTGGCCGTAGTTCTGCTCAAGTTACAAAGTTCCGGTGCGAGACAGGAACAAGACACAGAACACAGGGACTGACCTGTGAACTGAAAGCCAGAAGGAAAGAGAACATGGATTCCAGCACTGTGGAAGTCAAATGTGATACCGAAGTAAAGTGCAATGCTCCCAAATATTGAAAAAGCATTAACAAAAGTCCAGTAAGATGTATCCAAGCCAATCTGAAAGCAAACAAAAGCTCCAAATTAGTTTATTAATTCAAAATAATACCAACTAGTCTGAAGACTGACAGCATTTTGGTGAAGTCATCTCTAATCCAGTTACACGTCAGTCAGGGAGAGATCATCAACGGAGAAGAGAGAAGGCAAAAAGGGGGAGCTTTTTGCATATTGTTATGTTCTTAGTAAACAAGTTTAGAAACATAACCGGAAGGTGTTTTCAGAGCAACAGAGATCAAGAAGCTAAGCTTACTTGCCTGAAAATTGACGATAAATATAAGAGAAGATGCTGCTGTGACAGCAAATGACTGATAATCTGAAGGTGCTTCTCCATCTTGTCCCATAGTTTTAAGGTAAGCTCCATATGGTATGAAGAAAATTATCAACGAAGTTATAGCTCCATGAAGCAAACTTAAAAAGAATTTCTTGTAGTTAAAAAGTAAATCTTTCTGTCCCAAAACATACAGTCTAGGGAACCGAAGACTCAATTTGTCGCTCACATCCTTAATAAAGGAGAAAAATAAAAAAAAAAAAAACTGCTGCAATTTTTTGTTCTCAGTGTAAGCTCTGAAGAGTAAGAAGCTCAACTATACAACGTTCCAAAGGAAATGGCGGATTTCTTTTCCCTTTGCAAATAGCAGGGTGGGCAGCAGACTTTCCACAGAGTAACGCATGCAGCTAGGAAGAACTAAGTCTGGAGGACATCTCTCTAAGCTATTGCATATCCCGTTTCCAGGCTTCTAGATTTTTAGCCCATTATTTGCCAGGCCAAGAACGTCCAGCCCTGACTTTAAGTCTCTAACATTTACTCAGCTGAGTGCTTAATTTGGAACTAAATTTGTTTCTCCACTTTTATCACAAAAGAAAGCAGAAACATTGATTTGCCTAATCAGCAGGTAAGCCTTGTATGGAAAAACAAGCAGAGAAGGCCAAAAGCACTTGTCTCACTGAATTAAAACAAATGCCACACACCAAGACTTCCTGTTAAATACAGTCATTCAAAATTGTGCAGCCCCTCCACCTTCAGCTCAGATGGGTAAGCAAGGAATATCTTTTCCAGTAACAAAGCTGCCCGTTGCTGTGCTGTGGAAATGACGTTATGGCATAGCAGGCACTTAGAAACATTTTTAACAAACATTATTAGCACTAAAGATCTCTGACCTGACCAACTTTGGCTATTTCAGAAACCCTCTCCTCACTGTCTCTTGTTACCTCACATACTGGGAAGAGGAATACATTTTTAAAAACCTAAAAAACAACACGCCCCGCCCCCCTAATGCCTTGCACATACAACAAGGCAACCAGTTTCAGTGTAATTAAAGACTTCATGTTAGACGCCTTTGCATTCATCTGTTGTTAACAACATAGAGAGTACCTGGTCCAGCAAGCCAACTAGCAGAACCGGGAGACTAGAATACAGTACGTTGTACAGCGTGATGAACCAGTCTTCATATGCTGTCTGCAAGAAGAGGAGGAATCTCAGTAGTTAATGATTTCTTTTGAATTACATCTTTTCCTTCCAATTCCTGAGAAAATTCACACATGCTCTACTACAGCATTAAATTAGCTTTCTCAGTGTTTACCCAAAAGGCAAGCAGCACCTTCGCTCAAAGCTCTGTTGAAACTATTTTTAGCCTGTATTAAGCTGCCCAACTCCTTATAAACCATCGGCATTACCTGACCTGAAACACTATCAAAACGAACACCTTGCACCAGGTGGCAGTCTGATTTACAGCTGCACTTGCGATGAGCACTTGGCACCTCACATACAAGCTTGGGATCCCTGGTTTC